TCTCTCTCTCTCTCGGGGTGTGTGTGTGTGTGTGTGTGTGTGTTGTTTTCAAAGACCCCAGATTCTCTCTCTCATTACCTTCACAGATCATCACAAGCCATCCATAACGAAAAAGTATCGACAGGCAATATAATAGAAAATGCAAGGTTGGCCACATTTGTGTGGTTCAGCGCCAAGTGCCCACACACCCGTCTGCCGCCAAAGTGGCACACTTGCACATATACATATGTATAAATATATATATTCCAAACCATAAGGGGATGGAGGGTGGAAGGCAACTTACCTAAGGCAGAAGACTACTGCAGCAAGAGGGCACCGACCCAACCCCCTCAAAGATCCGAAAAAACTTGGAGAGCCTTCCGCATCGGCCCACAAAACCAAAAACTCATTTATCAACAACAAATAAATATAACAGCATTGGCATTCCCGACATTCATCTCAAACTACACAATCGCGTCACTGCCAAAGAGGAGGAAGATAAGAGACAACTTACCTAACATAGAAGACTCCTCCAGCAGGAACGTACCGACCCCCCCTGCTAAGGGTCCGAAAAAAACTGGGAAAGGCTTCCATGCCGGCCCACAAAACATACATTCCCCCCAAACAGAACTCGTGGCCACCCGGAAACATCCAAACAGCCCATGCGCTAAAGCAGGGCAATGAATTAGGCCATGTATAATCAACAAAACCAACAAGACATATCCAACCACAAAAAGAGAGAATAGCTCGCTAGTACGAGTCTGATCCCAGCCGCTCAAATCTGCCAAGACAGAGAGCTAGCAAGACCGGAATGTGTGTGTGTGTGTGTGTGTGTGTGTGTGTGTGTGTGTGTGTGTGTGTGTGTGTGTGTAAGGATGGGAGAAGGAAAGACTCCATGTGCCTATTAGTCCAGCTACTATAAACTCAGTACCTCCCTGCTTCCATCAAAATCCTTCCAGAAATAGCTGCAGCAGGCTTGGGACTTCTGCAAAGGCTACCGCCCTCAACAAAAAACGCAAATCGCATGGTTTAACAACGGACCATTTTTTATGGCTAAAAAATGCAAAGAATATTCCAAATATTTAGTTGCACAGCGATACCAGCAAGAAATCACGATTATGCAAAGTCTTGTGGACACAGAACGGAAGCAAAACTCGCAAGGGTAGGAACAAAGGACCTTTGAACTACAAACTCGCATACAAGATTTGAAGGACCAACTTTTGAAGCACGCACAGTATCAATGGCAGGGAGCCCAAACAAGGGCAAGGCTATCCAGGTTCTACACTGAAGGAGCGATGGACTCTCACTTCTTCAGCCTGGCCAGAACACGAATCCAAGGGACCATGATCGAGGCACTTTACGAACCGAAAGTCAGGAAATTGGCCCCGACCGTGACCATACCCCGTTGCACTAAGATAACATACGATTTCTACAAAGATTTGTTTTCCTCTCATGTGGACAAGCCGGATGCGCCATATTACGATCACCTAATAAAATATTTTTTGGAAGCGGTAAACAAAACATTGACACCTGAACAATGCGAATCCTTAGAGGCCCCACTCTCTAAACAAGAGATATGGACCGCCCTCCTACAAATGAAGGAGGAGAAGGCACTAGGGATTGACCGCTTCCCTAAGGAGTTATGGGAAACCACAGGAGATTTTTTTAGCCAGGATGTTATGGACTTCTACAATGAAGTATGGCTCACAGGTGAGATGGGAGAAAGGGTAGGGCGAGGGATACTAACCCTTCTATATAAAAAAGGGGATAAGATGGATATCAGAAATTACCGCCCAATAACACTCCTCACAGTAGTGTACAAAATGTTGTTTAAAGCCTTAGCAAACAGAATGATCCCAGTAACGGAAGACATCATCCATCCCTCCCAAACCGGTTTCATGGAGAATAGGAACATACAAGAAAACATCATGTTGATGCATGAGATACTCCAGCTCACGAGACACTCTCGTCAAAACGCAGCCTCAATTTTCATCGACTTCGAAAAGGCCTATGATCACGTGGACTGGTTGTTTCTGGACAAATGTCTGGAAAAATTTAACTTTGGGCCGGACTTCAGGCACTGGATACAAATCCTACACCAAAATGCAACCACATGCGTCCAAGTCAATGGATGCCTTGTGCCGCCCCTACACTTAGAGCGGTCGGTCCGCCAGGGGGACCCAATTGCCCCCTTCCTTTTCCTAGTCATTATGGAGGCACTAGCTGCCAACCTTCGGGCAAACAAAAATATTACTAAAATCCGAGTCACATGCATTCCGGAGGACACAATCCCGGTGTGCTCCCTATTTGCAGATGATCTCACAATAATGGCAGAGGCCGCACACCGCAACATGGAGGAAATTCAACAAATGATGGAAAAGTTTGTCAGGGTTTCTGACATGACAGTCAATTGGGGGTCCAAGACACAAGGATGGTGGATTCACTATCAAGGGGGACGCCCTCCAGAGTCACCACGCATTACATGGATGTCGTTAGAGACCCCAGTAAGAATCCTAGGGGTATCCACGACTACGGAGGGATGACCACCAATCAACGACGAATGGATCAGTGCCCCGGCTCAGCATAAATTAAACAACTGGAGAAACAAGCACACACCCCTGTTCGGCCGCACACTAGTACTTAACAACATAATATTTGCAACATTATGGTACAAGTCTTTACTGTGTCCATTGAGCAAAGCGCCCCTGAGGAGCTTAAGGAAAAAGGCAGTGGCTTTCCTATGGAGGGGGGATGGCGAGCAGACCAATGTAATTAGCCGAGTGGCGTGGGATTCAATTATCCAGCCTAAGGCGGGGGGAGGCCTGGGAATAACTGACCCAGTCACGCAGGTGCAAGCACTACGGTAAAAATGGATTAAAAAGCTCATTTTCGGCCCCCAGAGCCCGTGGTGTGTTTTAGCTCTGGAACATTTGGCCCGGCTGGCCCCGACAACCCCCCATACAATCCACCCGTTGACATGGCTGGAGGACCGATTCTGGACGATCCCACGTAAGCTCCCACAAGGAAGGGAGGGGCTGGATGGCGGGGGTCAAACAATGGACAACTTTTGGCCATCTCTATTGGAAACCTGGCGTAAACTTCCACTCCCAAACAGGACCCACCCCAACCGTTGGGAGGAAGTCTACCAACAACCCCTCTTTGGAAATCGATGGGTAACAGATTTGAGAGGTTGCATCATGACAAGCTCATCCCTTCCCTGGAAAAACTGGGTTAAACGTGGTGTACTTAGGGTCGGGGATCTCTAGGACAACAAGAGACAGGACTGGAGAACAGGAGACCAATTGCAGGAAACCCTAAGGTACTGCCATTATGTAGAGGAGCTTTTGGATGACCTTATTGAAGCCATCCCACTGGAGTGGTACCGAGTTCGTAAACGTGGCCCCACCTTGAGAATAGGCGATTGGTGGCAAGCACAGAGACCCCGCTGAGGATTGGCCAGATACATATGGTCTCACCCCAAACAGTCCTGATCGAACACTACACTATCACCAAATTGGGCACCCTCCAAGGGAATAGAGCACCCTTCGAATGGAAAGAGAAAGCAGCAGTGCACCGAGTGAGATTTATAGAGGAGAAGGGACAGAGGGTGGTGTTCCAGTCATTCAAACCAATCCAGGCTCTGGCTCTGGACCCGGTAGAATGGACATGGAATCCCCCCCAAAAGAGAGGAGCCCCCAAAGTAGGTCAAATTAGCCTGCACCAGTTGTCGGTCAAATCAGCCTACAAAATGCTCAGACCTAAACGGCATTTGAGAGACGCGATTAACGATAGATGGGCTAGACACCTCAATGTGGACCGCACCCTCCTGTCGATCCAATGGTTAAAGGAA